ACCTTCTATTTCTCTTCACTGTTTGGTGACTCATACTCAAGTTTCCAATTTTATACATATATTTTTTTAAGTTTTAATTATGGCCTTACTAATTGAGCTGTTTTAAACTGCTTCTTCTACTAACCTTAAACAATCATAAATAATTTCTGTTTGTCATAAATTAATTATTTATAATGAGGGGCTAGTGTGAGTTTTATCAGGAAATGAGACTTTGTCAGGTTCTGTACATAACTTCTTAGGTGTATGCAAGGCAGGGGAGCTGAAACAAGAGTGGTAAAGCTAGCAGTAAAAAATATGAATGTGAATATCATTTGCCCCCTTAGTGACTTGAAACAAAGATTAAATCGTCGTCTTTCTTAGAATAGTGTTGTTTAAACTGTGATTGTCTGACAAAAGCCCAGTAAGCAGTATTTTTGTTTTCCTGTCTGTTTTAACGGAAGTTTGTTCGCATTCTCTAAACAAATCTAAAAGATATTTGCGCTTCGATAAAAAAACCGCACAAATATCATTTCTGTTCTTAAGGACAAATAAGTAATGACAAAAATATTCTCTTTCAAATTCAGAAATAAACTGATGCCAGTATGAAATTTGTGGAGAGTATAACAGTGGTATAAGCAAGGCATGCAGTAAAAGTTAAAGTGATAAAGGAAAAATTTGCTATAAATTTAAATGGATGTGAAGGGGGTTTAGGGATGGTTTATTTCATTTACAACTGTCATTCAAATAACCTCTTATTCAATTTAAATCCCTTTAAGAAAGCAAATGAAATGTAAGCCTAGGGATGTAATCTCTCAAATACAGCAATCACGTAGCATAAAGGAAAACAGTAATGTATTTTTTTTTCCAACTAAGTCCTGTAAATAACTGTACTATGTCTAAGAATTTTTTTTAACCCAGAATCAGTTCCTTTTAAGTCTTCCTAATAGGGAGGGATATCTGAGCAAGCTCACTGTATCAGCTTTGCTCAGCTATATGTCTTTTTAAATTTGACAAAAAGCATGGAAACTCTTGCTATTTAGGATAAAATAGTAATTAGCTACATCAGAATAGTAGCCCCAGAAGAGAATAAATATAGGTAAGTATAAGTGTACTTACTGTCTAGCATAAATTCTATGAGAAAACTACATTAAATGACTTGATGTAATCACTTGTTTATAGAATCCATTTGTTTTCCCAAATGAAATGTGAAGTGACTTAAGCACTTAGAATATTATTAATGTACCAGGACAGCCTAGGAAAAAATTGTGTTTCTTTAGCACTAAATAACTAAGTAGCTCTGTAGGTTTGACATTAACGGTCTCATCAACACTGCAGATAGGAGGAGTGAGTTTGTGTCTTCTATAGGATATCTCACATTGTTTCTTCAGGACAGGTTTAACTTTTTTTGGAGGTCTGTGTTCTGGGGAGAGTTTTAATCTGTTTTTTATCTTTTTTTTGAATTATGAAATATATTATTTTCCTAGAATTGCTTGAACAAATACAAATAGAGCAATAAGAAATGTTGATGTTTGTTGGGCTTTTTGATAGATGGTTTTGTTTTGTTCTTTTTGATTTTTCTCTAATCAAACAAAAAATAAATATTTTCAAATCTTTGCAGAGTCTTTTTTGTAAATAATAATCTTAAACTTTTTCATTTCCTTGTTGAAACAGAACATTCTTTATTTGCTTTTGTCACAGTTCATTTGTATTCAGAGCATTAATAGCTGTAAGCTTTGAGAAATTATGTGTATGCTGCTGACAATATGACCCTAGAAAAATTATTTGAGTTAAAAATCAAAACATTTGCTGTTTGTTTTCTCTCAGTCAAACTATCAAACCTCTAAATATTAAAAAGTGGCAGCAAGACCTTTAAAGAGAAATTTTCAAACTACGTCTTAGGGATATTTGTTGCTGTTATTACTATCACGTGTGAGAAATTGATTTTATTTTAAGATTTCTGTCCCTTTTGTAGTTAGAATCTCTCATGAAAAAAAGCCTGTGATAGTTGGGATAAACAAGGAAAAAAATATTTTTTACTGAATTTTCATTAGCTGTGTACCGTATTTCCTGTATTTGTAGATAATTAATGTATTCCTAAGTTTCATATCTTGAGCACATTTTTTTACAACTTTCTATGACATAGCAGATTGCATCCAAGGGTGGTGAGAGAGCTGGTGAATCTCCTTCCAAGGCCACTTTCTATTATCTTTGACAGTTTGTTGAGCTTAGGAGACATCCACAAAGATGGGAAAAAAGTTTCATGATCTTTAACAAAAGCCAAAAGTTTGACCTGTGCAATTGCAGGCTGACCTTTATTTCAGTTCCTGGTGAAATCATGGATCAAGTCCTCTTGCAAGACATTTCCTGGCATGTGAAGAAAGTGAGTGGGAATGGTTAGCATGAATTTATCAAGGGTAAATCACAGCTGAGCATGCTGATTGTTCTTTTATAATAAATCACTAGGTAGCTGGACAAGAAGAGAGACGTGGATGTTGCCTACTGCAACCTTAGCAAGGCTTTTCACTGTGTCCACTCATCCAGGCTTGCATCTATGAATATAATGGCATGACTTGGATGTAAGAATACTGAAAGAGATAACCAGATAGATGGGAAAAAAAGAAAAAAAAAACAAAAAAACCAAACAAACCAAACAAACAAACAGAAAACCCAAACCAAACACCCCTCCAAAAAACCAAAACAACACAAAACAAACCAAAAAAACCAGGTTGGATGATTGTATAGGAGTTAGTGGTTAGTGGATCGTACTGTACTGGAAGCCCGGAGTGAGAAGAGTACCAAAGGAGTTTACTCTGGGATATTCCATTTTGTCACTAACTGTGAAAAGGCTATGAAGTGCATGATGACATCAAATTGGGAGAAACAGTTGAATATGCTCAAGAACAGTGCTGCTATCCAGAGGGACCTGTACAGGCCAGAACAATGGGCCTACAGGAGCTCTGTGAAATTCAACAAGGGCAAAGGGCTAAGTCCTGCACCTGGGAATGAATAACTCCTGCACACAGTAAAGGCTGGGGAGCGGCTCTCCACAAAAGACCTTGGTGCCCTGGTGGACAGCAAGCTGAGTGTAAACCACCAGCATGCCTTGGCAGCGAAGAATGCCAAAAGCATCCTGGTCTGGATTAACAGGAGCATAGATTCATGGAAGTGATAATTCTCCTTTACTTCGCCGTCCTTAGACACTGTCTAGCATAGTCCATCCAGTTTTGAGAGATTGATTAACTGAAATGAGTTCAGTGGATGGCCGCCAAGGCAGTCAGAGGCTGAAGCACTTGCCCTGTGAGGACACCCTGGGGGAGCTGGGCGTGTTCAGCCTGTAGAAGTGGGTTCTAATATCAGGCTGCCAGAAGCTATGAGGAGGTTACTGAGAAGACAGAGGCAGGGTCTTTGCACTGGTACATAGCGGAAAGATGAGGGGACAATGGGCATAAGTTAGAACAAGAGAAGTTCAGACTGGGTATAACGAAAAACTTTTTCCCATGCAGACGGTCAAGAAGCGGAACAGGTTGCCCAGAGTAGTCTGCATCCTGGGAGGTTTTCAAGAGCCAGCTGTGTGAAACCATGAGCAGCCTGGTCTGACTTCAGATCTGAGCCTGCTTGGAGCAGGAGCTTGCCCTAGAGGTCCAGGGGACCTCAGGGAGGGGGTCATGAAAGCCTACAGGGAGAGGATCAAGAAAGCCAAGGTACAGCTGGAACTGAGCTTGGCTAGGGATGTGAAAAATAACAGGAAGGGTTTCTTCAGGTGCATAGAACAACAAAGGAAAATGGAAGAAACTGTACCTGCCTGATGAGCAAAATGGGAGACCTGGCTACAACCGACATGGAGAATGATGAGGTATTCAACAATTTTTTTGCCTTGGTCTTCACCAGGAAGTGCTCTAGCTATGCCACAGGATTCAAAGAGAGGGACTGGGAGAATGAAGTACCGCCCACTGTAGGAGACAGGGCAAGTTCAAGACCATCTAAGGAACCTGAAGGTGCACAAGCTCATGGGACCTGATGAGATGCATCCATGGGCCCTATGGGAACTGGCAGGTTAAGTTGCTAAGCCACTATCCATCATACTTGAGAAGTCATGGCAGTCTGGGAAAGTTCCCACTGTCTGGAAAAGGGGAAACGCAGTCCCTATTTTTAAAAAGGAAATAAGGAAGACCCGGGGAACTACAGGCTGGTCAGTCTTACCTCTGTGCCTGGCAAGATCATGGAGCAGATCCTCCTGTGAACTATGCTATGGCACATGGAAAATAAAGAGGTGATTGGTGACAGCCAACATGGCTTCACTAAGGGCAAATTGTGCCTGACAAGCTTGGTGGCTTTCTACAACGCAGTTACAGCATTGGTGGATAAGGGGAGAGCAGCTGACGTCATCTACCTGGACAGTTTGTGATTTGAGAGAATATCAAAGCTGGAACAATTGTACAAGTAGGAGAGAATCATTCAGATACCTTGCAGTTAAGGCTACTCAAAGAACACTTTACTTCAGCATAGACAAGATATTTTTGTATACGTGTACATAATATGCGTGTATATCCTTATATATTTATGTATAGCCTCCTTTCAACTTTGTGCAATTCCTTTTGTATCACTACTCCCTTTTTTTGCCGTGTCATTGTTTCATCAATTTAAGCTGTATTGGAAAATGGACAGTGTTTACACAGTGGGATGCTGACCTGTGTTGTGTACATACTGCAAGTGATATCTTACTTATTGCCTAAAATTTTATTAAAAAGATAAAGTAGGTATAATTTTCCTCATATCCTTTTAATTTCAAGTACTCATATTAACACAAAGAGCTCTGATATTTCTAAGACACTTACACAGAATCTCCTCCTTAAGAAGCTGGAGTATAGAATCAGACTCAGCGGTGTGTTTCAGCAGCTGTTGTTATGTCAATTATTTTCAGTTGCTTATACTAATGTGTAGTTATTTTCTAGATGTAAGCATATACCCACAGGGAATTTGTTTCATTCTTCTAGAAATAAATTCCTTATTTGTTTCAACAGAAATTGAAAAGGAAAGCTGTGGGGACCCTGGAACACCATTGTATGGTATCAGAGAAGGGGATGGATTTTCTAACCGTGATGTTTTAAGGTTTGAGTGTCAGTTTGGATTTGAATTAATTGGAGAGAAATCTATCATTTGCCAAGAAAACAACCAGTGGTCTGCAAACATACCAATCTGTATTTGTATGTACCAAATATTTTTACTATTATTTTTAATGCATACCATTATGATGATTTATCATTATATGTAATGGTTTGTGTGATTGATTGCAGAGTTAAAACAATGCAATTAATTCCTCTGACAGGGAGCATTTACTTTTGTTCACTGGTGGGTTTGCCTAATGATTTTGACCAAGACAGGTTCTAGAACTACTGAAATATTTTTTCTTTTACTAGCAACTATTAAAGCAGTTGTCTTTGTGTGATTTGAGATAATGTTTTACTATTGCCTTTTTTGTAGTATTCTGTAGATTTTATATGGATGCTACAATTTTTATAGCTACTCTTATAAATTAATATATTTCCTTAGATTAGAACTTGCTGAATTGTAATCAAGGGTTTAAATTATTCACATTTTTCTCCATGTATTATGTATTAATATCTTTTAGCACTTAAATTATCATAGATATTTATAGCTCTCTTCCAGTTACATTAAACAACATAAGTAAAACCAGTGTTGTGATACGTATTTGTGGCAACATCTTTCTTAGAATTTCCACTAAAATAGTACAGATCAAATATATTCAGAGTGCAAACAGTTGCTTTCATCCCTGCAACTGAATTTAATATGGCTTAACTGAAATGGTTGAATATAAAATATTATCCTGATAACAGCAAAACAACTCTGTTTTGAGGCTAGTTAATTTCTTGTGTTTCTGTGTGAGCAACAAATGATAAGGGCGCTATTGACTTTCTCCCTCTTTAATGTGCTCAGTGAGAGGTCTGCTCATCTAAACTGTTGCCTAAGGGAGAAAATAAGTGGTGCCAGGTGATTAATGATTGTTGAACATGGGTAAATTGTAAGGACTTCTGTGGGCTTCCAGTGCAACAAGGGTGTTCTTTATTACCTGGGAGCTCTGCTTGGGAGGTAGTTTTATTGAGGGGAAGGGAATAAGAAGGTAAAAAAGAAAAACCATCTTTCTAGCTTCACAGATCATAACAAATACTGAATTAATCAGCTGAGGTAATCAGCAAATTTAAGAATCTTTTGCAAAAACTTAGCAATAAAATAAATCCTTATTGAAGTGTTTCATTCTATTGTCTCATTTCTCTTTCTCTTTTTTGGCAGTTCCTTGTCTTTCCAATTTCACTGCACCAATGGGAACAGTTCTTTCACCTGATTATCCAGAGGGATATGGGAATAATTTAAACTGTATCTGGACAATAATTTCAGACCCTGGGAGCCGAATCCATCTCTCTTTTAATGACTTTGACTTGGAATCTCAGTTTGACTTCCTTGCAGTTAAAGATGGTGACTCTCCAGATTCCCCCGTAATAGGCACATTTACTGGTGCTGAAGTTCCTTCCCATCTTACCAGTAATGGTCATATTTTACGTCTGGAATTTCAAGCTGACCATTCAATGTCAGGACGTGGATTTAATATCACTTATAACAGTGAGTAATAGTATTTTTTTATGTGTATGTATGGTTTTCAACATATGGTTTAGGAGATATATATGTAAGTATGTAAAAATGGCGCTATGGTAATACACCTTCAAATGAGTCCTATATGCCTACGGGTACCTAATTTACGTGTTTAGATTGTCTTTCAAATACTGTGTTAGGGCTTTTTAGTATTTAAGTTTATTTATCGTTTATGGCATTAGAGATAATTTTGATGGGGGCATTTAGACGACTGACAATTCAGGCCAGTTTCTAAATGTAAAACAGAGCTTTTACTAAGTTTGTTATCAAAACACTCTCTGCTGCTGGTTAAATCCTACAGTATGTTAATCACCATCCTTACATAGAAAAAACTGTAACTCTTGAACACTCATATGGTAGATTATCTGTGAATGTATGTAATACCCAGGAGCTGCAGTCCCTCCTTGTCACCATGGTTAACGTGGGCAGACGTGCCATCTCTTTGGTAAGAGAAGTCAAACAGCAGTAGGCTTGTCTTCTTTTTCTCTGTTTTAACTTGCTTATGGCTGATTATTTTAAACTATTTTTCCCACTCCCAGAAAAGGAGGATTCCTGTTCTCCTGGCGTTACTCACCTTGGGTTTCTTTGTCTTCCCAGTCATCCTTGTTTATTCAGGAGGATGTCTGGTGTATTTACAGTCCCTTGTGCCTATCTTGCCTTTTGTTTAGCATTTTTAATTTTTCTTTTTTTTTACTTGAATGCCTTCTGTGTGCAACTACACCTGTCTGTCCTTTTGGTGATTAAATTGCTCACATGCTTGTATAAAATGCCTATAAGTTGTGCCTGGCTACACCATTACAATGTCAAAAAAAGTACTTACATGCTGTTAGTTACTCTGGTTTGATATGCTTGTATATAGGTGAGAGATAAGTTGATATTAATTTTATCCTGATTAATATATTTTTAACTTATACCTCTAACAGCCATGGGAAGAGAATTTTCTAGACTGCCATTCAGAACAACTGCAGTAAATAGTAGTTGGGCTTCTGTCTTGAGCGCTCTGAATCATACCTAGTTATTTGTAGGTTTTGGAAGGGTAACCAGCATCTTCTGTCACCTTTTGTATTTAGTTTATCTATTACATAGATTTTCCCATTAAAAAGGAGTTCTGTGTATTTCACTTACTTCTGACCTGAGGGAGGTGAAAAGGTTGAAACTAATCAAAACCATAAATAGCTCTATATTTACTACTTGGCACTACATTTACTGACAGCATAATAATTGAAGGTGACAGTAAATATCTTCTCCAGTAGTACTAAATACCATTAGCACTTATTCACCTTATTTTTTTGTAGCCAAAATCGTTACGTTCCTTCTGAAGGACATATGAAGGACTGTCTGTGTTGTATAGCGATCAAATTATTCAAGATTTATCCCACACCAGAGTCCAGGCAGGATATATTCCCAGCTAGGGCAGACGTGATGATGCAATATGTAAGCCCACAGCATTAATAGCACTACAAAATATAGCGTGAGGCTTTCCTGTCTTCCTCTCTAAACCTGAGAGTTGGTTTCCAGAGGCTTACTTGGAATGTGAGTCTTTAACTGCATGATCTGAAGGAGAGCAGTGTACCCACATCTCCCCTTCCCAGAAGAATGTGTTACATGCTTTACTATATAAAAACTAGGCTTTATTGATGAAGATGTTTTACTCAGAATAAAACAAAAAAGATCCATTAAACGAAAGAGGAAATGAGATTAAGTGAGGTTGGTAACTGAGGGACCCAGACTCCCCATTTTTCTCCAAGGAATGTTAATAATTAATATTGCTTTCATAATATCGCAAGGACTAAATTCCTCTGTGACTCTACTTTTCCTGCATCATAGTTCACCTCTCCATCTTTTTTTTTCACCTCTCTCTTTTGTTTTGTTTTAGGTTGTCATTCTTTCGGAGAGGTATTTCTTAAGCCTTACCTTGAACATTGCTGTCTGAATAGGAAAGACATAAGCTGACACCAGATTACTGTGTAGACATTATTTTTTCTGGTATTGTCTTGTATTTCAGCTCCCAGACCTCTATCTTAGCTGCTTCATCCCCAGGTCATTTCTCACAAACGTAGAATGCAAGCGTGAAGAACATGTGATGTCTTCTTACTGGTTTCTATAGCTACCAGTTATCATTGCAAACTAAACTTTGAACTGTAGCTGGCTATCTTAGTACTGTAACTAGATAATGGAAAGTCTGGGGTTATTCAGTACTACTGAAATAGAAAATCAGTTAGAATGAGATGTTGAATCCATGTTTCTTAACAGGAGCTGTAATCTTTGCTCTATGTTTTCTTCTGTTTCATGTCCTTTTAACATTTATACATTACTTCTTTAAAGTTTCACCATGGTGTGCTCAATGGTGTCAAGCCTAAATCTAGTGATAAGAAAAAAAAATATTGGAGAGTCTAAGGCAGTTTTCTAGGATATAAATTAGGCCTGTGTATAAATGGATATTCTCAAGTAATCCCATTTGCAGAACTAGAACTAAATATAGGTCAGTTACAGTAGGATTTGCAATAAAAATGAAATATGCAGATGATTAGCATGGAATAATCCTTATATTTAGGTTTTTTTGAAATACAACAGTTCATCAAACACTGTAAAGATTTCAGGTTTAATATTTCAGTTCCATCTAAATATATTTATCTGAATAAATTCTGGTCCTTCAAAAAATTTGCAGACTTCCTTGGGCATGTAGTAGTCTAATTATGATATCTCTCAATTAACAGTTGCTTAAAGTATGCACTGGTAGTATCAAATGGTGCAATTTGAATTTTTATAATGTAACAATGCAATATTAGCCTTTACCAGTTGGATAATGAAACCCACTGACTCTGAAAAGAATTATTTTAAAGAAGTGTTAGGTGAGTTTAAACTAGAATGGAGGTGTGCGTGTGTTTGTTAAACTCTGTAGTTAAAATCTACTTACAAAAGCAAAAATAACTCCAGAAAATGTCTCTAATCTTTCTTCAGTAAAGACAGCTGCAATCTGATAAATTACAGAAGTAATCTTTCCATAGTAAGTAGTTTAAGGCCAAGAGAGAGGATAAGAAAGGAGTTAATATCATTTTCACTCTGTCTTGGCATTCGTAAACCCAGAGTTAATTAAAAATATCCATTTTCTGCTAACACTTCATCTTATATATTTCAAAGCTATCAGTCTCTTTTTGCCCCCTTCAAGAGCAGAAACCATATATCACAGTAAAGGTACAACATGATCGATCTGTTCTAGAAAGAATGTAGGCTACTAATGTAAATAACTTCATTAATATTTTTGAGGTGTAGAATGGAGAAGAATAAAACTCAGTTGCTTGTATGTAACCTCATTTTTAAATATTATTTCCCAGAAACTATTTTTATTCTATATTTATTTTTATTATGGCAACATATGTGGTCTCAGGTAATTATTTTCATTCCAGTAAAACTAAATAGAAATTCAACTTCTATTAGAAGTAAACAAAAATTGGATTTCAACTGTCTCATCTTTGAGTTACTTCACTAAGCCTGACAAAGATTTCTAATGAATTAAATTTTGGGTCAAGCCCACAGAAATGTGTGATTTGAAAATGGATGATGCAGAGAACGTTCCAATAACTGAAGGAATAGAAACTCAAAGGGTTATGATTTTCAGCTTGGTCGGATCCTTGTATTGGTTTACTTACATCTGGCTATGCACAACTGTTGATGCAAAAGGGGGAAATGAAGCAAGAGAGTGCCTTACTGGGTACACAGGAACATAGTAACCCATAATTCCATTGGTTCCAGTTGCCGTAGCACTGCATAATTACACCTGGCTCCTTGCTTCCAGTTTATATCCCAAACTGAGGAGCCCCTAATGACATTTCTGGTCTCTGTGAAGGTATTTATATACTTGGTCATCCCTTAATCTTCTCTCTAATAAGCTATATGCGTTGAATTCCTCAGTTTAAGGGAAAGTCTAAGCCTTTTATCAGATTTGTGACTCCTTTATGAATGCTTCCCACTTTATCTCCATATTTGTTCACTTATGGAGATCAGAACTAGATACAGTATTTGAATATAGTCACATAAATTACAAGCAGTGAAGTTATATAGTCTCTCTGCTTCAGTTTGGATTTCCTAGTTTAGAACAGGACACACACAAAACACACACATTCATTACTATGCAACAATTAGACCCAAATGAAGAAGAATGGATATTAATTGCTTGTGACAAAGGAGTTAATGAAAAGAAGACTACAAAGTCATGGGTGATTATCTTCCCTTTCCTCACTTGTAGAAGCAGAAGTTGTCAGTGGTTGGGAAGAAGTGTGTCAGCTCCAGCCATGAGAGGTTGTGTTCCCAGGTGTCCCTGGAACTCCCCCATGGGCAGGCGTTCCAGAAGCCAGAGTCATGCCACCCTCCCTTCAGGCTGAGGTGGATAAGTGTTTTTGAGGTGGAGAGCATCTTCCAGATTGTTTGATTTTTGCTAGTTGTTGGCAGACTGCTTTGAGCTATTGCTCATTGATCATGGTGTAGGAGGCTCTGGGCCAATATTTTTGTATATGTTTAGATTTGCTGTTTCTGACAGTTACACAGATTTTTTTCTTTTTTTTTTTTTTTGTTCCTGTTTTTTATTACAACTGTTTAATTGTGCTTCATCTAGCAAAAGTTCCAGCCCTATGAACTCCTTAGCAACATGCTGAAGGTCAAGCTGCAGGCCTCTGACATCAGCCTAATTATTCGAGTGATTTCAGCTCAGTAGGCCAAGACATTGACAATCTCACATGCTGCTTTTGTATCCAAAGACTGCTTTCATCTGTTCTATTGCTGTGATAGGGAATGTCCATCATGGGACATTTTTGCTGGCACTCCCTTCTGCTAGACTTTTTCAGTCTCACTACTTCCCATACGGAATTCTTCAAACTGTTATATACTACACAGAAGTATGAGTTTACATGTGATGATACTGAATAACCTACTAGTTGTTTGCAGAACTTTTAACAGCCTTTCACAATTTGTGC